GACAACAGAGAACCGGCAGTGACTAATAATAGAGGTGGAGTAGAGAAACGCGGACATAGATGGTGGTGGTCACAGAGAAATGAAGAATTAATGGACAAAGATGGTGGAAGAAGAGGTGGCGTAAAGAGGCGGTGAATAAAAATGCTAGCGGCGACGGAAAATATAATTGGCGACAATGGTCAGAAAAGAGGTGTGTTGAAATAGAGAAAATGAATAGAGATGGTGGTGACAACGGAGAACGAGCAACAACAATAGCAAAGGCGATGACATGGTGATAAGATACAAAAACTATAGCCACGAAGCGAGTGATGTGTGAACATTCATGATAACACATTGAATTTATATCATAGATTTGAAAAACATGATTTTTACAATATTTTTTTTACAAACATGACTTGATGTGATATTATAAATGTTACTCCGTAATAAAGTCTGAATTTAACTTATGTGAGAAGTAAATTTTTTAGGCATTTTCATGCCATCAAATCATCAATACTAGTAAATCAAATCAAGTGTTAATTTATTTACAATATTTCATTACTTTTTTCTACTCACTTTATTATTAATGTGCAAACTAAAAGTCAATGTATACGGCATCTTAACAATTACGTAGTATTATCTATGTGATATTATAAAAGTTAATAACTTGCACTAAAAACTCATTTTAAAAATAATTGTGTTAAACTAAAACAGGATATTCAATATGAAAAGGAGATAGTACATACATATCATATTAGATATTAGATAAAATAGAGCATTTCAAATCAAACTAGAGTCATAGATTTCCAACAAATTGAAAGCTCCCAATGTCGTGATGTCATCTGTGAAATTTGAAAGTTGCGAAAAAGAACATGCATATATTAGGCCATTGGTGTTGAAAACCTATATTGGTATACAAAATGTGCACATTTGAAAGTTGACACTCATGTATGTAGACATCTCATTTCGGGGGAAATGACTGACACTCATGTATTTGTTGTACTCACACACCTCTTTTCTCACCAATTCTCCGTCGCCACTAGCATTTATATTCACCGCCTCTTTACGCCACCTCTTCTTCCACCATCTTTGTCCATTAATTCTCCATTTCTATGTGACCACCACCATCTATGTCCGTGTTTCTTACTCCACCTCTATTATTAGTCACTGCCGGTTCTCCGGTGTCCCTATCATCTCTTTTCGTTGTCTCTCATGTTATTGTTTCTCCCACTATCGTTGTCAATTCTTCGTCGACACCCCCATATCTATTTGTCTCCTTTCTACACTACCTTTTTATCCATCATCATTGTTGGTTCATCGCAAACCACCATATATATATCGATAGAAATGACATCTCATCTCATGCTAATATACACAAAATGTGTACATATTTGACACTCAAATGTATACAAACAATTGTTGTCTTTTTTTAAACGAGTAAGTGAGTGATTAGGTTGATTTTTTAACCGACTAAGCCGATCAATACTCTACAATTAGAGTTGGCTAACGCCTAGGAGCGATGCATCTATCCGACTATGTTGATTTTTAGAACAGTGCACTATTATTCATAATTCCTCATAGTAATTCGTGATAGTAGAAAAATATTACATAGTACTACCTCCGCTTCAAAATGATGATCATGTATTTCACATTTGGAGTCTCCCAAATTAAAGTAGATTACCATTTATACTCATTCTTTTTAATGAACAGTAAATGTAAATGAGTGAACAATACAATAAAGTAAAGTTATATGGGTCATTCTACCACTCTTTCTTAATATTTGTGTCAAAAAAATATAGAATCATCAATTCCGGACGGAAATAATATATTTTTGTAATTTCATTGTAAAGAGAACTTCTAGAGGATCAGATTTGTGTTTCTACCTGGAAATGGGAAATGAAAGAGCTTTTTCCTTGAATATTACTCCTCCGTCCCGCTTAGATTGTCTCATTTTACCTTTTCGAGAAGTCCCACTAAGATTGTCCCATACCATATTTAGTAAAGATTGTGTGGCTCTAAATCATTCTAACTTTATTCTTACTTTATCAATTTAATATCAACCATACAAACCTACTTTTCTTAATAATCGTGCCACTTTTTCTCGTCCCAATCTTAGTGGGACGGAGGTAGTACCTAATTGAAACTAATTTCCAAAAAAGTGACCATTTTTCTAAAATGACAAAAATGTGACTAAGGTCACATATATGCAAATACATGATATCACTGTTTTTATGTCACTGCAGCCGGATTTAGTGTCACTATTGTATGTAACTATCAGATTTTTATGTAACTGTAGTCACCGCGGCCGTGTCACTGTAGCCACCGCACGTGTCACTGTAGCTGCCACCCGTGTCACTGTAGACGTTGCACGTGTCACTGTAGCCGCCACCCGTGTCGCTGTAGCCACCGTCTGTGTCACTATAGTCATCGTCCATGTCACTGTAGCCACCACCGTCGTTGGCCACAGTGACACCGCCGTCGGCACCACCCAATTACCGCCGCCACACCGCTTTATCCAGTGACCACCGCCTAGCCCCACCGGCCACAACCCCCGACGACCACTGACCCCATGCGCTAACTTGCACCATCCCCATTGCCCCTCCCTACTGCAGTCACCGCCACAACTCTGGCCGACCACAACCAGTGTGACCCAACATACCCAAATCGCCATTGCCCAACTCCGACCTAAATCTCTCAGCCTTTCTCAGCCCCAACAACCATCTTCTCCAACCAAATCCACCCCCTCCAGCCATCTAATCGCCGTAGCACACCAACTCTGACCACCCCAACCATCCCAGCCCCACTTTTGACAGCCCAACCCATCCCAACCACCGGCCAATGAACAATAGTAGCCGCCCTCTCCCAAATCTGGTCGATTGCTGACCGGCATGTCATATCTGAAGGACGATGAGGCGGAGAGGCGTCAAATTCAAGCTCGTCATCATCGAATGATGAAGCTCTTTGTCAAATTCATGAAAATCGTAGCCATGCGCTAAATCTTCGACCGGATCAAAGATGGAGGCACTGGTTCATATGCAGAAGTTTGCCGATGGAGGTCCTGGTTCATCTGTAGAAGTTCACCGGTGGAGGTGCTCGTTCAATTTGATGAAGACCGAAGATGCATTGGAGAAGACTGTTTGATGAAGTGGGAGATCAGGGTCGGCCCAGCCCAGGTGCAAATGGAGCACCTGCACAGGGCCTCCAATCCTAAGAGGGCCTCCAATTTTTAATAGCATTGTATTACACCTAGGCCCAATAGGATCTTTTTTATCAAATAATATTCTTAGCCAGCGGCCCAATCTCCTTTTTGTGGAGCACGTCTGCCTGGCTGCTTGCCTCATCGATCAGTCCGCGTAAGTCGCTACAGAAGCGGGAAGATGGAAAGACCTCCTCGTTTATGTGCATTTTTTTTTTTGGAGAAACGAAGCGGTGTGCCCAATGATAAGATCGACATGATCGATTTGAGCAGATTAGGGTGAATGAAGGTTGTCGGTATGAAATTTAATTTTTTTATTGTTAGGCCTTTTTTCGTTAAATACCCAATCGTCCGAAAATCAGATATCCCAATTCCATCCAAACTCCATTAAGGGGGGTGTATTGAATATGGATTATGGTGGACTTTTTTTAATTCATGGACTTCTAAAAAAGTCTATGGACTTTTAAATCCATAGACTTTTATCCGCTGACTTTTAAATCCGTAGACTTTTAAATCCGTGGACTTTTAAAATGAATGACTTTTAAATGAATGACTTCTATGGATTTCAATAAATCCATAGACTTTTACTTGGACTTATTTCGGACCAGATTTAACTAGACCGGACTTTAACAAAGCAAACCAGACTTTAATAAATAATAATCACTACATAGAGTTCCGAGTGCCGGTCTGCAACAAGTCAAGTTAGCCAACAATCTTTTTTTTCTTAGAACTGGAGTAACAGTCTACTTGTCTAGCACTCCTAGTAGGGGCACAGATTGTTCCTGGCGTTCTTCAATTCAGCTGTTCTCTTGCTTATTGCTATCCTTCGGTTACTCATTCACTCACGTGTTCAGCAGTTCAGGTGCTTGTGTTCCCATTTTCCTTTTAATTGATTATATATACTACCTCCGTCCCCCAAGTTTGGGACAAAAGAAAGTGACACAGTTATTAATAAAAGTTGGTTGATGTGGTTGATATTGAATTGATAAAGTAAGAATAAAGTAGGAATAATTTAGAATCACACAAACTTTACCAAATAAGGCATGAGACAATCTTAGTGGGACGAACCGAAATGGTAAAATGGGACAATTATAGCGGGACGGAGGGAGTAATATATATAATTATTTCTCCTATTTGAATTCCTTATTTCTCTTGCAGCTTTACATTCTATAAATTATAATTGCCTAGTTGAAGTCTTACATGAGATCTACAATGACCAAGAAAGACTTAATGGATTAGTTTTAGTAGCAATTGAGTGTGGTCTAATTGAAAAAAAACTCATACTTGAAAAAAACTCATATTAAGTTTAAAATTTTTATTGTAATTTTGATAATCTTGGCGTTTACTTCATTAAGTAGAATTGCATTTTGTAAAATTTGATATTGTTTTTTATTATATTATATATTAGCATTTGTTGTATAAAATTTTAGGGCCTCTAATTTTATTTTGAACAGGGCCTCCAATTTTTCAGGGACGGGCCTGTGGGAGATGCGTTGAAGTCGCGCACTGTTTTGAGCTAGGATGGGAGATGCGTTGAAGACTTGAAGCGGGTCACTTTTTGGTAATGTTTTAAAATGGTCATATATTTGTCTATTGAAACCATATAGATAATATTTGTGCCATTGTTTCGAAATGAAAAGCTAAAAACTGACGTAGCTGCAACAATGGATTCCATTTCTGGGTTGCCCCGCCATGATACATATCGTAAGATCATCCAAATCCTCAAAGTTAGTAACCCCGAATAGAAGGATTTCATCACAGCCACATCCATGTTCAAATAATAAAACACAGGTTAGACACCATATCTTAAAATTTTATCAGGGCTATTTTGCTCAAATGATAAGTCAACTCGACCAAAAATCGAAAGAGGACACAGTTAATAAGCTATTTTGCTCTAATGAACTGCCATATTACCAAATACAGAGTACATATTAAGCTATCCTAAAACCAGCTACGTATAAATGTACAAACCAACATATAGATCATACAATTACTTCTCATATTAAGTTAACATTTTAAAGATGGAATGTCAAATCTTAATAACTTTTATCAAGGTCTTAAAATCAAGTAGGAAAATAATTTTATACATTCCCTTTTAGAGGCTCAGATCTGTGTTTCTAGAGGGAAATGGAAGCGAAAAGCCAAAAACCGCCCCATGGCTGCTACAACAGAATGAATTTCCATGTTGCCCCGCCAAGTTACGGATATGGCCTTCGAAATCTTCAAAATGAGTAAACCTATACACAGAAATTTCATCACAGCCCCTTCACTGTTCCAATGATGAAAACAGGTTTGAGAGGAAGGGGTATAAAACTCTCAAATAAGATTTCAATCGAAAAGCCAAAAACATCCGATGAACAACAACAACATCCAGCCTTATTCCCAAAAGAGTTTGGGGTGAAAACTCCCAATCGATTGTCCCAAAATAAACCTTTAGGGCTACTATCCTCATTTCACAGGGCCTTTAATATTTTCCGCATTTTTAGTACAGAACACTGCATAAAACAATGTTTTTTTGGAATAGAAGAGGCTCAGATCTGTGTCTCTGAGAGGAAAATGAAAGCTTATTCCGCCATGGCTGCAACGACCGGTTGCACTTCCGGGTTGCCCCGCCAAGATACGGGTTAGGTCCCCCAAATTCCTCAAAATTAGTAAGCCCAGAAAGAGAATACACAGAGCCATTTCATCACAGCCACTTTACGATTCCAGGAATAAAAGAAACAGAAAATGATGATACTCAGTAATACTGTAGTAGTAAGAACAAGATTAACGCCGAGTGTTAACTAATCAGTACTCCGTACGTAGTATATCGCGAGCGAGGACGATAGATAATAAGATGAAAGGGCTGTTCGGCCATGGCAAAGAAACATCATGTGCAGATGAGAGGGAGGCAACCGCCCTTTCAATAAACTCCCACCCCTCTCCTGCCTCACTCCTTTCTGGGCTGCGTCCGGATGGATGACAGACCATTTCGCATTTATATCGTACAAAATGCTTCTTTCTAGTAGATACCAGATCATTCTCGTAGATGCCAGACCATTTCTTGTTTGCAAAAAATTAAGAGTAAAATGCACAACTAGTCCCTAAACTATCGGCATCATATCATTTTGGTCCCTGAACTAATAAATCTATCATTTTAGTCCCTAACCTATGTAATTCATATTAATTTGGTCCTTCTGTCCATATTTTGACGTTAAACTAACGGAATGTGCTTAGTTAGTGCATGTAAATCAACATACTTATAAGACAAAATATAACTTATAAAATTCTGATTTAATATCTAAATAAATTAGAATGAAAACTATTATCAAATCATAATACAACGCGTGGTATAAAGTTATAACATAATGTAATACCTTCGTTCTTTTTTAAATGCAACATTGGACTTTTTGCACTATTCATATGTTCTACTTTGACTCTATTTTATTTAATACGGAGTAATGTGTTATAAATTAAATTTAAAAAAATGTTAAATTCCTCTCATTTTAAATTTTCCAATTTTTCTTTAATTTTTTTATTAAGAAGGAATTAAAGATATTAATGGCCAAAGTTGTGTGTTGGCAAACGTGAAACTTGTGTGTTGACAAATTTTGAGAACTATACAAATATTAGTAAAAAAATAAAAAAATAAAAAATAGATTTTGAAATTTGAAAATGAGAGGAATTTAACACTTTTTTATAATTTATTTTATAATACATTACTCCGTATTAAATAAAATAGAGTCAAAGTAGAACATATGAATAGTGCAAAAAGTCCAATGTTGCATTTAAAAGAGAACGTATACAGTATATTACGATAGTATGTCTTAACGCGTTATATTATGATTTGATAGTAGTTTTCATTCTAATTTATTTAGATATTAAATCAGATTTTTATAAGTTATATTTTGATTTACACATACATGCACTAACTAAGTATATTTTGTTAGTTTAACGTCAAAATATAGATAAAAGGACCGAACTAATATGGATTACATAGATTAGGGACTGAAATGATATATTTGTTAGTTCAGGGACCAAAATGATATGGGACTGATAGTTTAGAGACTAGTTATGCATTTTACTCAAAAATTAAATAAAAAAACATTTTTCTGGTTTTGGATTTAAAAAAGTTGAAGTTAGCGTTTTCAAGTGATAGATTTTGGATAATGTTTTTGTTTACGGCTTTTTTAGCCGAAAGATTTGTTTACTCATGTTATTTTGTTTTGTGTTTTTTCCACATTCTGGATATTGTTTTTTTTGTGTGTGCTGAGTTTTTCCAGCAAAGATACTTATGAAAATACTTATGAAACTGATATAGGAGCTGATGTGTCGTGTCTACAAGTCATAGGCTTAGGTAAGCCCAAAGCGGAATCAGCAAATTATATGGCTTCTACGGAGGTGATTAATTCAGAGTCTGCTCCTTGGACGAACGGCAGACAGGAATCACTGTAGTCATCGTCCGTGTCACTGTAGCCACCACCACGGCACCACCATTGAACAAAATGACACTACCGTTTTCACTACCCAATAAACACCACTGTTGGCCAGAGTGACACTGCCGTCGGCACCACCCAATTACCGCCACCACACCGCTTTATCTAGTGACCACCGACTAGCCCCACCGACCACTGCCCCCGGAGACCACCGGCCCCATGCGCTAGCATGCATCATCCCCACTGCCCCTCCCTGCTGCAGTCACCGCCACAACTCTGGTCGGCCATAGCCAGTGACCCAGCATACCCAAATCACCACCGACCACCACCGCCCAACTCCGACCTAAATCCCCAAGCCCCTCTCAGTCCCAACAACCGTCTTCTCCGACCAACTCCACCCCTTCCAGCCAACTAATCGCCGCAACACACCAACTCCGACCACACTAAGCAGCCCAAATCCACCCCTACCAGCCTCACCTTTGACGCCCAACCCATCCCAACCACCGGCCAATGAACAATAGTAGCCACCCTCCCCCAGATCTGGTCAATTGCTGGCCGGCATGTCATATCTGAAGGACGAGGAGGCGGAGAGGCGTCATGTCCGAGCTCGTCGTCATCAGATGACGAAGCTCTTTGCTGAATTCATGAAAATCGTAGCCAAGCGCCAAATCTTCGGGCGGATCAAAGATGGAGGCACTGGTTCATCTGCAAAAGTTCGCCGGTGGAGGTCCTGGTTTATCTGCAGAAGACTGTTCAATGAAGTGGGAGATGCGTTGAAGTCGTGTACTATTTTGAGCGAGGATGGGAGATGCGTTGAAGACTTGAAGCGGGTCACCTTTTGGTAATGTTTAAAAAATGGTCATATATTTGTTTGTTGAAACCTTACAAATAATATTTGTGCCATTGTTTCGAAATGAAAAGCCATTTCTGGGTTGCCCGCCATGATACAGATCGTAAGATCATCCAAATCCTCAAAGTCAGTAACCCTGAATAGAAGGATTTCATCACAGCCACATCCATTATCAAATAATAAAACACAGGTTAGACACCAAATCTTACAATTTTATCAGGACTATTTTGCTCAAATGATAAGTCAACTCGACCAAAACTCAAAACACAGTTAACAAGATATATATGGTCTAATGAACTGCCATTTTACCAAATACAGAGTACACATTAAGCTATCCTAAAACCAGTGAAGTATAAATGTACAACCCAACATATAGATCATACAATTACTTCTAAGTTAACATTTTAAAGATGGAATGTCAAATCTTGATAACTTTATCGAGGTCTTAACAGTGGCGGAGCCACTCCTATTCTAAAGTGTTCACATGAACACTCAATTTTTTCAAACACATGCAAGTATATATGTATAAATTCAGTATAATTATTTATTACTCTTTACATTTTTAGTTGTAAATAAACATTGAACACCCAAGATAGTAAACTCCAAATCCGCCACTGGGTCTTAAAATCAAGTAGGAATATAATTTAATACATTCCCTTTTAGAGGCTCAGATCTGTGTTTCTTGAGGGAAATGGAAGTAAAAAGCCGAAAACCGCCCCATGGATGCTACAACAGAATGAATTTCCATGTTGCCCCGCCAAGTTACGGATATGGCCTTCAAAATCTTCAAAATGAGTAAACCTATACTCATTTGAGATTTCATCACAGCCACTTCACTGTTCCAATGATGAAAACAGGTTTGAGAGGAAGGGGTATAAAACTCTCAAATAAGTATTTTAATCCAAAAGCCAAAAACATCACAACAAGCCTTATTCCCAAAAGAGTTTGGGGTGAAAACTCCCAATCGAGAGCCCGTTTGGTAATAGCAAAATCAACTGTATGGGCTGATTCTGCTGAAATTTATTAAATTCTGACTGATGTAACTGTATTGGCTTATTCTACTGATATGTGAAAAATAATAATTTAAAATACATTTTATTAATATAACAAAGAAAAAGTTATGTGAAAAAATAGCTAAAATACCCTCTACAGTAACTTCAGCCAATAAAATTATACTCCGTAAAAGTAACTCCAACCTTACTTTTTTTTATTATTACACAATTCTACCCGTAAAACTAAAAAAACTAAAAGTTACGTACTAAAAAAGTTGGCTTAGGATGAAGCCAAACTGGCACTGATTGTCCCAAAATAAACTGTTAGGGCTAATATCCTCAGTTCAGGGTCCTTGGTATTTCCGAAAATGTAGCATAGAACACTACATACAACAATGTCATACTCCTCTCCATTTCCTTCTTTCCATTTACTCTCTCCATTTCTTTTTCACTCTACCTCTCCTTAAAAATAATAATTAAACCCCATCTTTTTTTTCTCCCTACCTCACCATTTCCCCATCTCACCCTATCTCTCTCCTAATGGAGAACTCCAGTGACTGGAGAGGAGCTAAATTCTCAGATCTGTGTCTCTGAGAGGAAAATGGAAGCTTATTCCGCCATGGCTGCAACTACCGGTTGCACTTCCGGGTTGCCCCGCCAAGATACGGGTTAGGTCCTCCAGATTCCTCAAAATTAGTAAGCCCAGAAAGAGGAAACACAGAGCCATTTCATCACAGCCACTTTACGATTCCAGGAATAAAAGAAACAGAGAATGATGATACTCAGTAATACTGTAGTAGTAAGAACAAGATTAACGCCGAGTGTTAACTAAACAGTACTCCGTACGTAGTATATCGCGCGCGAGGGCGATAGATAATAAGAGGAAAGGGCTGTTCGGCCATGGCAAAGGAAACGTAAAAAATGCTTCTTTCTCGTAGATATACTCCCAAGTCCCAACCCTCTCCTGCCTCACTCCTTTCTGGGCTGCATTCTCGTCTATGACAGACCATTTCGCATTTATATCGTAAAAAATGCTTCTTTCTCGTAGATATACTCCCAAGTCCCAACCCTCTCCTGCCTCACTCCTTTCTGGGCTGCATTCTCGTCTATGACAGACCATTTCGCATTTATATCGTAAAAAATGCTTCTTTCTCGTAGATACTAGACCATTCTCGTAGATGATAGACCATTTCGTGTTTGCAAAAAGTTTTAAAAATAGAAAAGAGGCAAATAAGTCCACATATTAACAAAAAAAGGCCAAATAAAGCTTTATTTAAGAAGATCTGTCTTGACGTCGTCATTTGGGAAGGTTTCTGGTGGAATTTTTTCATAAAATTTTTTGAGCATCTTATTCATTAAGTCTAGTTTACTCATACAAAATGTCAGCTAACAATTCAATCGGAAAGGCACTCAAATGAATTCTTGAAGATAAGTGCGCTTTTAACTGCGCAGTTATCTTCAAGAATTCATTTGAGTGCCTTTCCGATTGAAGTTTTAGCTGAAATTTGGTATGAGTAAACTAGACTTACTGAATAAGATGTTCAAAAAATTTCATCAAAAAATTCAACCGAGAAGTCGAAAACAACCCCAAATGACAAAGGCCGGACAGATCCTCATAAAAAAGTACTCCATACTTTTCAACTTTTGGGTTTAAAAAAAGTGAAATTGGTGTTTTCAAGTGACAGTTTCAAATTAACTTAATTAATCACTTAAAAGTTAAAAATTGAAAGCATGTTGAGTGTGTTTTAATCCGCTTTTCATTCTTTCTATTACATAAATAACACTTATTTTATCAAACACTAACAACTTTTACTATTTCAGAATCATCTTTTTCTTAAATACTACCAACTTTTACTGTTAAACACTCTTTCAGAAATCAGTTTAAAAATCATTTTTCTAAAGTAGAAGCAATCGCAAACACTCCATTCATTTGGAATTAATTGTACATATGTTTTTTCCCAAAAAAATCCAAAACCATTTAGAATCCATTTTGTAATATAGGAATCGACTGAATCGATTTATTTTGCTGAATTTATGAAATTTTGGTTGAAGTGACTGAATTGATTGATTCGGCTAATTTATGAAAAAATTACACTTAAAATACATTTTAGTAGTAAAATAAAGAAAAAAGTTACATGAAAAAATATGAGACAAAGCATGTAATATTCCAAAAAAGTTTTTTACTCCATATTAACTAGAGCATAAATATTTTAAAACGTTAAAATTAATATCGAATCACAAATATGGAATTCTAATAAATATAAATATGGATTCTACAATGTATTCTGCAGAACCCAACCATTTTTTACTAGTACGTTAAATAATTCTAATGAAGGGATTGAGATTTGAGATTCATATAGAAACTATATTTGAAAAACTGAGTGACAAGAGATCATTTAGTACAGTTGAGATTCACACGCTGAACCTCAAGTTTGTCCTAGAGCAAAATTATTTTTACATATGAATTGTTACATACAGACAACTTACACTTTGAAATTTAAGAGATCACATCAAACCCATCCAAGTAATGAATCTGGCAAGGAGTTGATGCTTATATAGTCATTCGAAATTATGAATGCATGATAGAATAAATAATCCACAAGTAATTGCCGAGCACAGATTTTCAAAAAACAAAGAATTACAGATCTGCAGCACATTTTTCCCCGAAATCAGAGGCTAGGACTGTGAGATCACCATAGGCGCGAACATCAAATGCACTTTACATTGTTCAATTCTTGATCCATGAGTATCATCTGGAAAGAGGAATGTGATTAAGAGAATATTCTGGATCCTGGAAATGATATAGTACATTTGAAACAATCTACTACATTATATAGTAAAACTATGAGTAAATGGACCTCACTAGGTTGAACAAGTTGAGTGAAAAAATTAATGTTTGCCCTATATATCAAATCAAACATTACATGTGGATTGAAAAGAAACTAATTCACAATGGCAAGAGAGGAGACAAATTCAACATTCTGATCCTTTCCTTGTCTTGTCTAGGAATTTTTCCATCTTATTTCTTCAAACCAATTGCGATAAAAGATTGAACTTAATTGTGTTTCAACCTCATTTAAACCACTTTGCATAGTTAGAAACCGGACAAAAATCTTAGGTGTACATAACTCATTTGAAATTGACAAATTTTAGTGGATAAAACTAGGTGGATCCTCGGAAGTGTTATAATTCTGTAACATGCTGGAATTCTTTTTTTCGTATTAAACCCTTTTATAAAGTAAAATATTTCTTTTTCTGATCCCAACATGTATGATATGCACAGTACACAGAATAAGAATGGAGTGGGGAAAGTGAAACATACTCCCCTAGCATAGGTACAGAATATCAGGTTGTGATAAGGCAAAGAAGTTTGAGAGTTCAGACACCATCAGGGCAATACTCCCATGATACATGAGTGTTGTCCTACAAGATACAAGTCAGGATAGAATGTTCCTAATAACAAATAGAGGAAACCTGATCACATATTGTGTTATCCATTCACAAAGCTCAAATACAAATCAAGATGTAGATTCTTATGAGCCTGTTTGGTAGAGGTAACTCTTTTATAAAGGCTCAGATCTGTCTCCAGCAAGCAATATAAAGTCCAAGCCACCATGGCTGCAATAATCGAGCCATTCCCGATTGCACTGCCCTGCCAAGATACGGATTGGGTTCTTCAAATGACCATCATTAGTAGCCCAGAATCATCACAGATTCACAGCCTATATGTAAAGGAGGGTTGTTGGTTACCTTATACTGAAAAGTGGAGGATATTATTGGCCAGCAGAGGAAGGACAACCACCCTAACAAAAAACACAAAACTCATCTTTGTACACTCATTCTTTGAAATGGGCTGTCCACTGTTAGTCATCTATCCATCCATTTTCCAAAACAATAACCAACACCCTCTAGAATAATATTGGGCCTGCTAACCTACGAGGTCCAAGTAACATTATACATTTGGACTTGAGATCAACTTCATTTTTTTAACATTTGCTACACGCTTGTCAGATATTATCAAGCAAAACTAAGCCTTGTTTCAATATATCGTCACTCTAAAGGGTTGTTGAGCTGCTCATTAGTCGTAGTTTTTGGGGAGAATCATTGGGATTGAAAAGAACAACAAAATGGAGCAACTACCCAAAAAACTCATTTACATCTTCAAGAGTTCACATTAAGCCAATCCAAGTGTAGATTCTTTTGGTAAGAGATTAATAAAGAGCAGTTTGAAAAAGTGAATGAATGAATGGATGGATGAATAACTGCAAACAGTTAACTTCTGGGATTTTTCAAAGACATAACCAATCCACATTTGGTTTACAGAATAGAGACTCAGAAAGGCAGTTTGCCAAAAGAAAATTAATATGCCGCCGTGGCTGCAAACATCAAATGCTCATGAGATTGATTGTTGTCCTGCCAAGATACGGATCACACATTATCCATGCCCAAACGATTGTCCCAAAATAAATGAGTAGTGCTAACTGCCAAGTATCATCACTGCCCCTTATGCCAGCACCGAAGGCATCTCATATGAGCATAAGTGAATATATAGGAAACATACACTTGATTGCATGCTCACATGGCATTACTGGAGCACAAACTATGAATTGAGTGCTTATGAATATATGAAGAGGATAATCTCAAGCCCAATAAAATGAAATACCCTTATCCTCTAAAGAATAAAACATAACATCCAAGCCTTAGTCCAAAAAGAGGTCGGGGTTGACCAACATGAATCAACATATGACAGCACGGGGTTGACCAACATGAATCAACATATGACATCAAAGAAGTATTTCATAAATGGGTATATTTCTTCTTCGAATGCCAAAAAATGATTGGCCAAGAAATAGGGAGGGAAATAAACACGAAATTTGCGAAGAAACTGTTGAAGAAAATAAAACATACTCCGAATTTCCTTATGAGTTGTTGCATTGTAAGTTGTAACTGAGAGGATCCTTTTCGATGTATAAAAGAAATGTAACTGAGAGGTCATGGGTTCAAAAACATATAATGCTGAAAGAGACAACTCCTGACTTATTATAGAACTTTGCTTTTTGTGGAATGGAACTTTGAAGAAAAATCCTTTTTAGAGGCTCAGGTATGTGTTTCTAGAAGGATATGGGAAGCCCGAACCGCCATGACTGCAACAACCGGTTCCATTTCCGGGTTGTGCCGCCAAGATACGGGCTGTGTCCTCCAGATCCCTCAAAATTAGTAGACCTAGAAAGAGGAAACACAGAAAACCGTATCATCACAGCCTCTTCACTGTTCTATCAATAAGCAGGATGAAGGGAAAAGGTCAAGTAAGAAACTGTAAATGAATAATCCGGAGTACTGATAATAATAACAGCAACAATAACCTTCAGTTACAACTGAGGTTATTGCATTTTCTTTCTTGCGAGAAAGATGATGAAAGGGCTGTTCGGTAAGGAAAACAGAGAAATCATCTGCAAATGTAGAGCCTAGAATCATCACAGCCTGTATGTAATTGAGGGATGTTGGTTACCTTCTGTTATTGAAAAGTAGAGGATATTATTGGCTAGCCTAGAGAGGACAACCACCCTAACGAAAACAAAAAACTGACCTTTGTACACTGTTCTTTGAAATAAGCTATCCACCTGCTAGTCATCTATCTCTCCATTTTCCAAACCAATAACCAACAGCCCTCTAGAAAGAATAATATTGGGCCGCCTAACCTATGAGGTCCAAGTAACATTATACGTTTGGACTTGAGATCAACTCCAATTATTTGAACATTTGCTGCACCCTTGTCAGATACTATCAAGCAACAATTAAGTCTTGTTTCATTGTATCATCATTCTAAAGGGTTGTTGAGCTGATCATTAATCACAGTTTTTGGGGATAATCATCGGGTCTTAAGAGTACAACAAAAAGAGGGAGCAACCACCCACAAAACTCATTTACCTCCTTTAGAGTTCACATTAAGCCACAAGCCAATCGAAGTGTAGATTCTTATGGTATGAGATTAAGACAGGGTAGTTTAAAGAAAGAAAGAATGAATGGATGAATAACAGCACGTAATTAACTTTGGGATTCTGAAAGAGGGAATGAATGCAAATCTGGTTTAAGAATAGAGGCTCAGATACGTGGTTTAAGATTAGCCAAAAGAAAATCAATATGCCGCCATGGCTGCAAATATCAAATTCTCATGAGATTGAGTATTGCCCCGCCAAGATGCGGGCCATATATTATCCATGCCCAATCCATTCTCCCAAAATAAACAGGTCGTGCTAAATATCATCACTGCCCCTTATAACAGCACAAAGCATCTCATAAGAGCATAAGATATGCTCTTGATTACGTGCACACATGGTATTACAGCTGCATAAACTATGAATTGAGTGGTTATGATTTATGAATATATGAAGAGGATAATCTCAAGCCCAATAAAATGAATTCCCGTCATCCTTTATCCTTTATCCTTTATAGAACACAACAACAACATAACATCCAAGCCTTAGTCCAAAAAGAGTTTGGGGTTGACAGTTGACTATCATCAATCGGGAAATGACCTCAGCACATAACATCAGAGAAGTGTTTCATTAAAACTTTGCTTTTTGTGGAATGGAATTATAAAGAAAATTCCTTTTTAGAGGCTCAGGTCTGTTTCTAGAGGGAGATGGGAAGCTGAACCGCCATGGCTGCAACAACCGGTTCAGTTTCAGGGTTGCCCCGCCAAGATACAGGTCGTGTCCACCAATCCCCTCAAAATTAGTAGGCCCAGAGAGAGGAAACACAGAAAGTCATCATCACAGCCACTTCACAGTTCTAAGAATAAGTAGGACGAAGGGAAAAGGTCAAATAAAATACGTAGTACTGTAATTAATTAATACGGAGTTCTGATGATAATAACAGCAGAAATAACCTTCAGTCACAACTGGTGTTAGGTTATAGCAGTTTCTTTCTTGCGAGAAAGAAGATGGAATTAAGGGCTGTTCGGTAGGGAAAACAGAGAAATCGTCTGCAAATGAGGAAGCAACTGCCTTTTCAAGAAACTCCCATTCCTCTCCTGCATCACTCCTCTTTGAGATTGAGTATTGCCACACCAAGATACGGGTCATATATTATCCATGCCCAATCAATTCTCTGGGTAGTTCTAAATATCATAACTGCCCCTTATACCAGCACAAGGCATCTCATAAAAGCATAAGATATGCTCTTGATTGCGTGCTCACACGGTATTACAGCTGCACAAACTATGAATTGAGTGCTTATGAATATATGAAGAGGATAATCTCAAGCCCAATAAAATGAAATCCCCTTATTTTGTAAAGAATGCGACAACATAACATCCAAGCCGTAGTCCAAAAAGAGTTTGCATTGTAACTGATAGGATCCTTTCAGATGTATAAATTGTAACTGAGAGGTCACAGGGTTCAATCCTTGGTGTGGAGTCTTATCATATAATACTCAGATCTACAAAAATTGGACAAAATCATATCATATAATGATGAAAGATAACTCCTGACTTTTTATAGAACTTTGCTTTTTGTGAAATGGAATTTTAAAGAAAATTCCTTTTTACTTTTTAGAGGCTCAGGTCTGTGTTTCTAGAGGGAAATGGGAAGCGGAACCGCCATGGCTGCAACAACCGGTTCCATTTCCGGGTTGCCCCGCCAAGATACAGGCCGTGTTCTCCAACTCCCTCAAAATTAGTAGGCCCAGAGAGGAGAAACACAGAAAACCATATCATCACAGCCGCTCCACAGTTCTAAGAATCAGCAGGATGAAGGGAAAGGGTCAAATAAGATACGTACTAGTGTACTACTGTAATAATTAATTAATACGGAGTACTGATAATAATAATAACAGCAACAATAACCTTCAGTTACAACTGGGGTTAGGTTATTGTTGTTTCTTTCTTGCGAGAAAGAAGATGAAAGGGCTGTTCGACAGGGAAAACAGAGAAATCATCTGCAAATGAGGAGGCAACTGCCCTTATAAGAAACTCTCATCCCTCTCCTGCATCACTCCTCTCTGGGCTTGTAAAGATGTGTTTGGGAGTTTGTGTGGTGAGGACACTGACTTAAACAGATCAGTTCAGACCAGACCAGTAAATTTCAGTCCAAGTAAACACATACTAAGATTAGCATGAAGAAAATCAATATGCCACGCCATGGCTGCAAATATCAAATGCTCATGAGATTGAGTATTGACACACCAAGATACGGGTGTCCCTTATACCAGCACGAGGCATCTCATAAGAGCATAAGATATGCTCTTGATTACATGCTCACACTGTATTACAGCTGCACAAACTATGAATTGAGTGCTTATAATATATCATATATGAAGAGGATAATCTCAAGCCCAATAAAATGAAATCCCATTATCCTTTAAAGAATGCAACAACAACATAACATCCAAACCTTAGTCCAAAAAGAGTTGGCATTGTAACTGATAGGATCCTTTCGGATGTATTATAAAAAAATGGTAACTGAGAGGTCCAGGGTTCAATCCTTGGTGTGGAGTCTTATCATATAATACTCAGATCTATAAAAAATTGGACAAAATCATATAATGATGAAAGATAAGTCCTGACTTTTACTAGAACTTTGCTTTTCGTGAAATGGAATTTTAGAGAAAATTCCTTTTTACTTTTTAGAGGCTCAGGTCTGTGTTTCTAGAGGGAAATGGGAAGCGGAACCGCCATGGCTGCAACAACCGGATCCATTTCCGGGTTGCCCCGCCAAGATACGGGCCGTGTCCTCCAAATCCCTCAAAATTAGTAGGCCCAGAGAGAAGAAACACCGAAAACCATATCATCATAGCCATTCCACAGTTCTAAGAATAAGCGGGACTGTAATTAATTAATACGGAGTACTGATAATAATAACAACATTTTCCATCATTTGCAATGGAGCCAAAGACTAACTATTTTTTGGCTTGAAAAAATGATAGATAAAGCAAAATGGCTCATTAAACTGTTTGTGCTTCTTTGTTATGAAGATGCAGTTAGTCCATGCATTTTGGACGCGATTTTCACTGTGGATCATCCGGAAACAGTCTCGTTGTGCTTTAGTGATAGAAGCAGAAAAAGAAACCCTAGCAGACGGTGTTAACGACTGCCCAGCCTTAGGCTCAAACCAAATCTTTATTCTCGATAATGAAAAATAGTTCACAAGACCTCCTTAAATACTCCTTAACCTAGTAATAAATTATGGCCATCTAGGCCCAACAAGCTAATAATAAAATATGGCCCAACAGTTTAATAGAAATAACAATTGAATAAAATAAACTAATAAAACCCAGCAGTTAATCCTATCCAGCCCATCTAGGCCCGCTGGCGGCAACGGTAAACCAATAATGGGCGAGGCCCATCCTCCTGAAGTATTGGACCCTCCTGGGCCATCGGCCCAACTGTCTCCTGCTCTCTAACAATTTCCTCCCCCTCTAAAACAACCTTGTCCCCAAGGTTGAAGTCAGGGAACTGCTGTTGGAACTGCTGCACCCCAATCCACGTAGCATCATCTTCTGACTGACCAACCCACTGCACCAACACCTGCTGCACACCTTTCCCTTTCTCCTGCACAGTCCGCGAAGCCAGAACAGTCGCAGGCTCGAACACCGGTCCAATAGGTACTTCCAAGCTCTCTGGCAACTCTGTTTCAAGGGGATGATCCCCGACCACCCGGCGTAACTGCGACACATGAAAAACAGGGTGGATCCTGCTAGAGGCCGGGAGAGACAGTCGGTATGCGGCTGGACCCACACGTCCTTCGACCACAAATGGACCATAGAACTTGGCAGATAGCTTGTGATGAGCTTGCTTTGCTATAGAATTTTGCCGATAAGGTCGAACTTTCAAGAAGACACGGTCCCCGACTTCAAATATTACTTCCCGTCGGCGCTTGTTTGCCTGCTTAATCATTTGCTGTTGTGACTTCTCTAGATTACCCTTCAAGCGACGCAACAGCTCATCCCGTCCCCCCAGAACTTCTGCCACGGCTGCCACCCGACACTCACCTGGTAAGAACCTCCGTAAGGATGGAGGCGGCCTTCCATACACCACTTCAAAAGGAGTCATCCCGGCAGCCGTTTGGTACGCAGTATTGTACCAATACTCTGCCCAAGGTAACCAACGAAGCCACTTCTTAGGCTGGTCACATGTGAAACAACGAAGATATGTCTCCAAAATACGGTTTAACACTTCCGTTTGGCCATCCGTTTCGGGGTGGTATGCAGAACTGTACTTCAAGTGGGTACCTGACTGCTGGAACAATTCTTTCCAAAAGGTACTGATGAATAGCGGGTCTCTATCACTGACTATGGATCCCGGCATACCATGCAACCGAACGATCTCCCGTACGAAAATATCAGCCACAGATCGAGCTGTGATTGGCGGTTTTAATGCAATGAAATGTCCATACTTGGACAGCCTATCCACCACCACCATAACACATGTATATCCCTGAGATTTAGGCAAACAAGTGATAAAATCCATGGCCACATCCTCCCAAACTAAATCTGGAATTGGTAGTGGTTGTAAGAGTCCTGCGGGTGACATAGTTTCGTATTTTGATTTCTGGCAGATCAAACATTTGGCCACATATTCCTGCACCTGACGGAACATGCCTTTCCAGTACACACCGCTCGCCAATCGTCTATATGTCCTGAGAGCCCCTGCATGCCCCCCTTCCGGTGTGTCATGAAATTCGTGTAACAGCTTTGGAATCCACTCGGAAGTGGCTGCCAACACCAACCTTCCTTTAAAAAACAGCTTGCCATCTATGATTTCGAACCCCTCTCGGCTGCCTGGATCGGTCTTAAGGCAGTCACAATGCCTTGAATAAACTCATCACGTTCTTGTTCTTCCAACACCTCCTGCATCCCTGCCCAATCCGGCACACTGAGTGCTGTCAACACCCCGTCATCAGCCCTTCTAGATAGGGCATCAGCCGCTGAATTGGAGACTCCCGGTTTGTACTCAATTTGGAAATCATACCCCAGTAATTTGGCCACCCAATTCTGCTGCGAGGGAGTTACAATTTTCTGCGTGAGAAGATGTTTGAGGCTGTGGTGATCAGTGCGGACCGTAAAACGACGACCCACGAGATATGGCCTCCAATGCTGTATAGCCAAAACCAGTCCCATTAATTCACGTTCATAGGCTGATTTAGTAAGAGTGCGATCAGCCAATGATTTACTGAAATAAGCAAGTGGTCGGCCGTCTTGCATCAATACTGCCCCTATCCCAGTACCGGATGCATCGCACTCAATCACAAAGTGGCTCTTGAAATCTGGCATGGCCAAAACCGGCGCTTCAGTCAACGCGCTCTTCAAACGAGTGAAAGCGGCTGCTGCCTCCTTATTCCATTCAAATACCGCTGCTGCATCTTTCTTCAATAAGGTCGTCAAAGGCCGCGCTATGAGTCCATAATTTTTGACAAAACGACGGTAATAGCCCGCCAACCCCAGAAACCCGCGCACCTCCCGGACAGAACGCGGTTGGGGCCACTCGACTACTGCACGGACCTTTGCAGGGTCCATCTCCACACCTGCCGCTGAAATGATGTGGCCAAGGTACTCGACCTTGGACCCCCCGAAGACACACTTCTTTCTATTGGCCTTGAATTTATTCTGATGTAAAATATGCAGCACTTGTGTCAAATGTTCACGATGCTCGGCTACTGTCTGACTATAGATCAGGATATCGTCGAAGAATACCATGACAAATCTCCGCAAGAACGGCCTAAAAAGATCATTCATTGTCGACTGGAAGGTGGCTGGCGCATTCATTAGCCCAAACGGCATCACGAGAAACTCGTAATGGCCACTATGAGTGCGAAAGGCAGTTTTAGAAATATCCGGTTCAGCCACCCGTATTTGATGATATCCAGCTCGAAGGTCAATTTTTGAAAAAATTACGGCTCCAGATAACTCATCTAACATCTCTTGTATCACTGGAATCGGATACTTATCTGGAACAGTCACTTTATTCAATTCCCGATAGTCCACACAGAATCGCCAACTACCATCTTTCTTTTTAACCAGGAGAACTGGGCTTGAGAACGGGCTGGAACTTGGCCTGATGATGCCTGCCATCAACATTTCTGACACAAGATTTTCAATTTCATCCTTCTGGCTATGTCCATACCTATACGGTCGGACAGATACCGGGCCCGCTCCCGGGACTAACTCAATTTGGTGGTCTGTAGATCGTCGCGGGGGAAGGTCATGTGGCTCCCCAAATACTTCCTCAAATTCCTGCAAGACATCAGCCACTTGCTCTTTGTTTGGCCCCAACAACGTAGTAGGCTCTTTTTCCATTACAATGGCCCAAAATTCCACATCCCTCGTCCGAAGCAGAGCCTGCAATCCCACCTGTTTCCGACATAGTGCTGGATCTCCTTTCAATCTTACCGGGCTGCCCTGCCAATCAAATGACATAGTCATTGTTTCCCAATTGGTCCGGACCTCTCCCAAGGTTGCAAGCCATGCTACTCCCAGTATCACATCCACTCCTCCTAATGGAAACACGTAACAATCTGTCTGTACTTTGCACCCTGGTAGCGAGATCGACACCCTCTTGCAAATCCCTTCTGATTCTTGGCGTCGACCGTCTCCTAATTGTACACCAAACTTCCCCGTCTTTTCTGTCTTTAATTTGAGTCGTGGTATAAGGGCTGCTGAAATAAAGTTGTGACTTGCGCCACTATCCACCAAGATGGTCACTGTGAACCCCTCAATCACGCCTCTGAATCGCATAGTACGAGGACTAGAAATTCCCGCCATTGAATATACGGGTAAGTCCATGGCCGCTGCCTGTTGCTCCTCCTGTTCCCCTAGCTGCTCAACCTCTTCAGATGGAATAAATGATTCAGTTTGGTTGAGGTCAAGTTCCTCATCTTCCTCCGCCACCATTACTCTTAACTGTTTTAAGGGACATTCATGCCCAGGGGTATAAGGCTTCTTGCATCGAAAGCAAAGTCCTTTTGCACGTAGGTCTGCCAATTCCTGCGGTGAGAGGCGTGTGAACCGAGAGCGATTCACTGACTGACCAGTCATGGTTGACCCGGTCCCCGATGCACGGGCTGAAGATTGCAAGGAAGCTGTGCCTCCTGCTGCCCCTTGGGTTCCAGTAATTGGCGAGGAAGAAAACCCGCCAACTTTGGTGTAATTACTGGAACGGTACTGCTGATTGTTGTAACCCCGTTCCATTCTCCCTCCGGACTGTACGGCTAAGTTGTCTTCGATATCCTTGGCCAACTCCATAGCAACCTCCAAATCAGCCGGCCGTAGGAGCCGTAAGGAACTGCGAATGGTGTCTCGTAGCCCTTTCATAAAGTACCCCAAGTAGTGGGCATCACTTAAACCTGGGACCTGACTGGCTAGTTGCACGAATACATTCACATAATCTTCCACGGACCCTGTCTGCTTAACATCGGCCAACCGTTCGAATGTGCTCCCTTTGAATCGCGTATCAAAACGGGCTACAAGGGCTTGTGAAAACTCCTCCCAGGTTATGTCCGGTCTCCGTGATCGTGTCCATGAGAACCAGTACAAAGCCGGTCCCTCCATGGCTACCATGGCAGTCGCTACCTTCAACTCGGGTCGGGTGTGGTGGATTTCGAACTGTTGGTTAGCCCGGGCGAGCCACCCAATCGGATCTGCCCCCTCAAAACCTGGTAGCGCTAGTGGTGCGATCACAGCCCCTGGGTTTTGTGGTGTTTGTGTTTCGCCCACTGTGCCAGCCGTGCTTCCCACTCCTAAATTGGGATTAATCGGCGGTTCGTCGGTAGCCATAACCTTCTGTGTCAGTTTGTCCAATATGGTGGTGATAGCATCTAACTTGGCGTTTGTGGAGTGCACTTCTGCCCTAATGTCTCGCTGTTCTGCCTCCATCGCATCAATGCGTTGCTCAATGGGAGAGCGAGTCATGGTGAGTAGTAGGATGGTGGATGGGGATCCGGCAGGTCGGACCAAATTGATAGAAGCAGAAAAAGAAACCCTAGCAGACGGTGTTAACGACTGCCCAGCCTTAGGCTCAAACCAAATCTTTATTCTCGATAATGAAAAATAGTTCACAAGACCTCCTTAAATACTCCTTAACCTAGTAATAAATTATGGCCATCTAGGCCCAACAAGCTAATAATAAAATATGGCCCAACAGTTTAATAGAAATAACAATTGAATAAAATAAACTAATAAAACCCAGCAGTTAATCCAGCCCATCTAGGCCCGCTGGCGGCGACGGTAAACCAATAATGGGCGAGGCCCATCCTCCTGAAGTATTGGACCCTCCTGGGCCATCGGCCCAACTGTCTCCTGCTCTCTAACATTTAGTCTCGCTGTGCTTTAGTACAGAGGTAAGACTGCGTATATCCGACCCCCTTACCCCACTGTAGATGGGAGCCTTTGTGGCACTGGGGTAATGATAATGATGATAACTGATAATAATAATTATAATAACAGCAACAATAACCTTCAATTACAACTGGGGATAGGTTATTGCAGTTTCTTTCTTGCGAGAAAGAAGATGAAAAGGCTGTTTGGCAGGGAAAACAGAGAAATCATCTGCAAATGAGGAGGCAACTGCCCTTTCAAGAAACTCCCATCCCTCTCCTGCATCATTCCTCTCTGGGCTTCTAAGGATGTGTTTGGGAGTTTGTGTGGTGTGGGGTGGTGTGGTGGGGTGAGGACACTGACTTAAACGGATCAGTTCAGACCATACCAGTAAATTACAGTCCAAGTAAAAACATACTAGGATTAGCATGAAGAAAATCAATATGACACGCCATGGCTGCAAATATCAAATGCTCATGAGATTGAGTATTGCCACGCCAAGATACGCGTCATATATTATCCATGCTCAATCAATTCTCCAAAAATAAATGGGTAGTGCTACATATCTTCACTGTCCCTTGTACCAGCACAAGGCATCTCATAAGAGCATAAGATATGCTCTTGATTACATGCTCACACGGTATTACAGTTGCACAAACTATGAATTGAGTGCTTATGAATATATGAAGAGGATAATATCAAGCCCAATAAAATGAAATCCCATTATCCTTTAAAGAATGCAACAACAACATAACATCCAAGCCTTAGTCCATTCAAAAAGAGTTGGCATTGTAACTGATAGGATCCTTTCAAATGTATCATAAAAAAAATTGTAACTGAGAGGTCCCGGGTTCAATCCTTGGTGTGGAGTCTTATCATATAATACTCAGATCTATAAAAATTGGACAAAATCATATAATGATGAAAGAACAGTCCTGACTTTTTATAGAACTTTGCTTTTTGTGAAATGGAATTTTAAAGAAAATTCCATTTTACTTTTTAGAGGCTCAGGTCTGTGTTTCTAGAGGGAAATGGGAAGCGAAACCGCCATGGCTGCAACAACCAGTTCCATTTCCGGGTTGCCCCGCCAAGATACGGGCCGTGTCCTCCAAATCCCTCAAAATTAGTAGGCCCAGAGAGAAGAAACACAGAAAACCATATCATCACAGCCGCTGCACACTTCTAAGAATAAGCAGGATGAAGGGAAAGGGTCAAATAAGATACGTGGTACAGTAATTAATTAATACGGAGTACTGATAATAAAAACAGCAACAATAACCTGCAGTTAGAACTGGGGTTAGGTTATTGCTGTTTCTTTCTTTGCGAGAAAGAAGATGAAAGGGCTGTTGGGAAAACAGAGAAATCATCTGCAAATGAGGAGGCAACTGCCCTTTCAAGAAACTCCCATCCCTCTCTTGCATCACTCCTCTCTGGGCTTCCAAGGGTGTGTTTGGGTGTTTGTGTGGTGTGGTGTGGTATGGCGGAGTGAGGACACGGGAGAGATGAAAGTGTTGGATTTTTCGAGAGGCCACTGTCCACACGTACAATTTTGCTCTCGTTTAAGCCACATGTGCTTGGGAGAAAGGATGTTGGATCAATCTGATAATTGTTTGGTTTCTATCTATTTTATAATTATGGAAATCTGGTCTGATCTGGGATTTAAAACAGTCTAAAAGAAAACATTTGTACTCCGTATTATATAAGGAACTAGCTTTCAAGCCCGTGCGATGCACATGCAGTATGTAATTTAGCTAATTTGAAATTTGATTTCTTTTGGATCATATGTAATGTGATTTAAAAGAAAAATAAACTTAGTCTAATATAGAGCCTGTTTGATAATACTAAAATAAATCGAATTAACTTATTTTACTGAAATTGATTAAATTCTGGCCGAATGGGCTAAATAAGTGGAATCTCCTGAATCATGAAAAAAATATGTAAAATATATTCCAATTGTGAAGCCAAGAAAAGATTATATGAAAAATAATTAAATTGTTCTTCTACATAAGCATCTCAGGTAAATATAATTGTTATGAACCCGATTTCAAAGAATTCATAATCTCACGTCCTCTAAATTACTTTATTATGCACCTTGAGTTTTTTTCATCTACTATTCCTCATTCAACTTGATGTGTAATACTGAGTACATACTTTTAACTTTTAATAATGGGAAAATGTGCAAATAGGCCCATGTACCAACCAAAAAGGTCAAATAAGCCCTTATTTAGGAGGTTTTGTCCGGCCGTCGTCATTTGGGGTGATTCCCGGTGGAATTTTTTGATGAATTTTTTTGATCATCTTATTCATCAAGTCTAGTTTACTCATATCAAATTTCTACTAAAACTTCAATCAGGAAGGCATTCAAATGAATTCTTGAAAATAACTGCGAAGTTAGAAGCGCAGTTATTTTCAAGAATTCATTTGAATGTCTTCCTGATTGAAGTTTTAGTAGAAATTTGATATGAGTAAACTAGACTTGATGAATAAGATGATCAAAAAATTTCATCAAAAAGTTCCACCGGGAACCACCCCAAATGGCGACGGCCGGATAGAGCCTCCTAAATAAGGGTTTATTTGACTTTTTTTTGTTAGTACATGGGCCTATTTGCACCTTTTCCCTTTAATAATAAGATGTTACATTTTACTCATTATTTCGTCACACCGTAAATGTAAAAAATGAAGTTTTTTTTTAACATTTTACTCATTATTTCGTTACATTGAAAACAATTTTTAATTGTTATGAGCATCTAAATTACTTTATTGAGCATTTCAAAATAATATTTTTCTATATTTCTCATTCAACTTGGTATGAAATACACATTTTAAAATTTTAATTGTGAGATCTTACATTCTACTCATTGATAAGGACGATTTTAATTGAATTAAAATTTTGGGTTTGATTTGGTATGAATTAATATGGTCTTGTAGATGTTTGTTTTGCATTTTATGTGACTTATTATTATTATTATTATTATTATTATTATCATCATCATCATCATCATCATCATCATCATCATCATCATTAAAGTTTGATTTGATCTTATTTAATCTGAACTGAAATCAATCCGATTAAAAAAATCTATTAAAATAAAAGTAGGAATTCGTAAACATATAAAGATTTTCTAATTTGGATTAGGAATTTATTTCAAAAGTGAAGACACATTTAAATTGTAGTTGTAAAATAAATAAATAACCAAACATATTTACTTTTTTGGCTAGGCCTAAACGTATTTACTTGTGAAAATATACATACATGTATGTATTTATATATGATATCAATTTTCATCCTTATTAAATAAGGTGAGCTGGTATTCTTTTTAAGAATTTATATTAGAATATCTAATAGTTTTAATTATGTTTTTTATATTAGAATATCTAAACGTATTTACTTGTGAAAATATACATACATGTATGTATTTATGTATGATATCAATTTTCATCCTTATTAAATAAGGTAAGCTAATTGATCATAAGTATTCTTTTTAAAATTTTATATGGTGGTTATAATTTTTATCATTTTTTAATAATTAAGAAGAAATTGTATGAAGATGGAGCAAAATAATTACATTTTAATCATTATCTCTTTCGAAAAAAGAATTTTAATCGTTATCTCAACATTGAGTTCAGAAAAATATATATTACATTTTAGGAAATGGGACACTATACCTACTATTACTTTTTTATTTTTATCAAATTACTTTGAAGACAAGATCAATAGCAATTTGCCTGATTTACCTGTTAAGTGAGCAAAAAACGAATACTTCATCTCTTTGCCATATTTTCATGGAGTGTCTTATACCAGTTGCCTTTAGCTTCCTACCGTCCACCTAATAAAGTGTTCTGGTAAGTGTTCAACTGACTGAAAAATTTATATCAGCTACCTGGTCATTACTTAAGCTAGTCTAGATTATCTCGTCTGTACCTCACTGGTCATGGATTAAGCTTATGTGATTTTACTTTGAAGTTTTCGAGCAGTACAAAAACATATAAATTCTCAAAACCAGGGATTTTCTAGCTCACTTTAAAAACGAATTCGAAGCAGCCTTCAGTAGCCATGGTATACTCAAAGTATTATATTACAAGTATTTTAATACTCTGTTATGAAGCCTCCATCCCACAATGGGGCCTTTCAATTCTATGATACTTTACTTTACCAAATGAGACCAAGAACATCCAAATGTAATTGATTTTGTAATGATGCGTAAAATAAGCTCCTTAAATGTAAAACCAGTGGTGTTGTGAAATACTAGAGAGCTCAGATTTGTTTGTTATTTACTTTGTCAAATTTAGAAGTTTTAAGTGATTCATATAGTCTCAATTTTGTTGTCATTTGCAGGAGTCATATGAGGAGCTGAAATCAAAGGAAACAATTGCTAAACCTCGGAATTTGATGTTAAAGGCTGCCGGTGGACGAAAGAAAGGAGGCAAAGTTTCTGGATATGGTTCGGCTAGTATATGTACTATTTTCCATGCACCTCCACTGCTAAAGATCATTCAATTCAGAAAAGTCATATGAAGATAACTTATGGAAGCAGCGCATGAGTGAACTTGAGAAATCCAATAATCTGCTTTTGGAAACAAACAAAGAACTCCTGCAATTTAAACAAACCGCTTCAGCTACCATTGACCAAATGGAGCATTCGATGTGTATGTTCTCAACAATGTTTCCGCCTCAAAATATTCAGCAAGCTTCGGTGATGGGTTTCCTTCCACAACATCAACAACAAACTAGCTATATGAATGTTCTTCCGCAACAACCTCAATTGGGACCTTACATGAGTATGTTAATGCCGCAATCTCCACAAACAATCCATGTTACCAATAATGGGTCGAATCATTCAGAGAATGGAAGTGAAGATGCTGGAGATGTGTAACACCGTCCCCAAATGTATTTACTGTTAAGAGTATAATGTATTGAACCTTATGGAATGGTTAACGAGTATACGAAGTTGTGAATTGTTAAAATTTTCTTTTGCGTGAATAGTGATTTCGCACGTGGGACCCACACCGGGAACGGGGCCGCCCGATATTCCCGAGACCGTATATTTTATTCAACTTGGTCGAAATAATATTTATATAGAGGTGGAATATTTATTCGGTCCAAGGGAATGACATAATGTGGACCGATTGGTCAAAAGCGGCTCAATTACTGGTATTGGTAATTTAACGGATAACAGTCCGAAATTGGATTTCGGAGACCTATAAATTAAAATTGGGAAATGTATATTCTTCATAAGTGTCATAATGATTAAGAACACATAAAATATTTTATTCGACCCGATAAAATAAATTATATTTAAAACAGTCCGAAAAATACAACTTTCGGGACCGATTGTGCACTTCTGGACAAAAAGGGTTGACCTCCCACATGAGTGGGGGCCAACCCACGAATTTGGCCTCATTTTTCAACTCATTGGCCGGCTGGTGTGATAGGAGAAACATGAGTGATGTGTGTGAAGTGAAGGAAGAAGCATCAAACAAATGGGATGGGGCCTCATCCTTACTCATTGATTAATGAGACAAAAGACAACCCCAAACCCCCCTTTTCCTTAATCATTTCGGCCAGCACCCATCCCTCAAGAGCAAGGAAGCTCTCAAACCTCTCACCATTGTTGAAGGAAGCTCCAACAAGAAGGAAGCTCTAGGGAAAAGTTTAAGTTCCGAAAAGTGTGCAAAACTTGAGGAAAGGCTAGGTAATGACTCCATTTACCTTTCTCTTCTCTTTTTCTTGAATATATTATTATTTGAGAAATTATGAAGAACCCTAGGATTGTTCTACATGTTGATAAATGTGGAACAAGGGGTTGGGAGGTGGTTCTATGTCCAAGAGCGGACTTAGAAGCCAAACCGACAAGTTCACCGGAAAATAACCTTTTGAAGGTTATTTGTGTTGATTAAGGTTTTATGATGTTAAAACCTTGTTAGGAACTTGATTAAAGTATTTTTGAGCTTCACCGGAGTTTCGCCGGAGTTGGTCAAAGTTCGCCGGAGTTGGTCAAAGTTCGCCGGAGTTGGTCAAAGTTCATCGGAGTTAGTCAAAGTGCAATCGGGGAGCGTGGAACGCGCTTTAGCTCACTTAAGGTGAGGATGACCGACTATATTGCTTATAATTATTGGGTTAATTTCATAAGATTTCCTAAATGAATTATATGTGTTTGGCATGATTTATTAATAATTAAAAATGCCTAAACGAGATCATTATTGTTTATAAGCAAAAATGCATAATATACAAATTTATGAATAAATTGTGTATGATTATGTGTTATGAATACAATGGCATAATAGTTGTATAAACTACAAATTAAATGGTGATAAATATACTTTTACCTCATGTAAGGAAGTCATGGGAGGATAAAAGTGATATTTTGATAATAGAGCCAAATTATACTTGAATGTGAAATTTAGTTGAAATATACGAATTATTATGAAATTGCATTGGTTTATTAAGATTAAACAACTAGTATAGAAATACTAGTCGGGAATGTAAGTTCAATAGTTCTTGGGAGCTAATCCCAAGATATTGGAGTTAAATAACCTT